AAAAAAAAAAAAAAAAAAAGAGACAGAAAAAGCAAAATTGCTAATGAACAAGCCATTCTGGAGAAAGTGTTGGTTTCTCTAACACAGTAAGAAATCTTTGAGCCAAAAAAGTTAAATTATTGGCATAAATAAAAGAATGGGTGGGAGACAACATTCACTTGATGAGAGGAAAGAATGTCCAACTCATTAAGGCAGCAAAGGATAAAACAAAACAATAAAAACTTCCATAATCCATAGATCCCAATTGAGTCAAGAAAACAGAAATAAAAATACAACTGGACACTAGACAGAAATATACTAAAATGTTATTAGAGTTTTTTTTGTGTGTGTGTGTGATTTCGGGTGAGAGTTCACGGAGCAAATTCATTTTCCATATAGCAGTTCATACACATTGTTTCATGACATTGACTGCAATTCCCCACAATGTAACAGCTCTCCTCCCACTTCCTCCCCATAGTTACCTCTCCCCAGTAGCCTCCTTCCATGTATTCCTGCTCCCTGAACTATCTCCCTGTGCAAACAGTGCCCTTCTTTTCTCCTATGATTGACTGCTCTAAGAAGTGTATCTACCTGATGTAAATGTTCACCCTATAGGCCTATCTGTTTGGCTGGAAGCCATGGGAGTGATTTCAATTCCAGATCTGAAGGGTAACTAGGGGCCATAGTCTCAGGGGTCTCACCAGGCTGTATCAGACCAGTAAACCTAGTCTTTTTTATGATTTTGAGTTTTGTTCCAAAGAGATTTTATCTAGGGAAACCTTTTTTTCTTCTATTGCTTTTATAAAAAGAAAACTTTTTTAAAAAAAATAAGGAGTTACACTATGAAGTATAAACAAAAATGCTACCATTAAATTCTTTGTAATGACTGGTGCAAAATAGGATAAATCTGCCTCCACCAGATACCAGAATAAGGGGATCCCATGGGAGTGGAAGGCAGACAGGGTTAGGCGATAGATCTCAGCAGAAATCAGAATCATCACTGGGCTTGCCACATCCAGGCCTCTGGTAAGTTCACTCAACACTGCCTCTTTATTAGCACTGGGATGTTATTGTTGTTGTTGTTGTTATGTGCTGTCAAGTTGGACTCGACTCACAGTGACCCCTCCTTGGGTTTCCGAAGTGGTATCACTACAGAAGTAGATCGCCCAACCTTCCTTCCGAGGAGTGGCTGGTGGGTTTGAACCGCCAACCTTCTGGTTAGCAGTCAAGTGCCTTAGGCTCTACACTACAAGAGTTCCTTAGTACTGGGATAGGGCACTAGAAAACATAAACAGTATCTCTGCCCTCATAGAATGTCATTCTAGCAGAGCAAGCAGGTGTTAAGCAACTAAGAAAACAATTACAATAGTAATTTCAATACGTTATGCAGAAATGGTAGAAGGAACCATGAGATCACATAACGGAAAGAGGGTCTAACCTAGCCAAGGAAGATTGTCTAGGTGCTTTATTGAAAATAGTGAGATTTCTGCCTCCATGAAGTGACTTCAAATAGAATTCCTGTTCAAATGTTTGAAAACATCTAGTACACAATAAGTCCTCAATGAATATTGTTGAAAAAATGAATAAACAAATAAGAATAATGTGTCCCCATTTGAAAGCTGAAAGAGCTACTATTAGGTGAAGTTAAACCAAACCAAACTCACTGCCATCAAGTCGATTCTGACTCATAGTGACCCTATAGGACAGAGTAGAACTGTCCTATAGAGTTTCCAAGCTTGTAAATCTTTATGGAAGCAGATTGCCTCACCTTTCTCCCATTAAGGGGTTGGTGGGTTCAAATCGCTGACCTTTTGGTTAGCAGCTAAATGTGTTAACCACTACGCCACCAGAGTTCCCGGAAGAGAATTGCCTACCCTTAAATATGAGTTTCTGAAAAGGCACTGGAACCCCTGTGGCCTCTTCAACAAGCTGGGCCAGATCTTGGACAATTGGTTCAACAGTGCCCTGCTGTGGAGTAACAAGAAGGTCGTGCTTCTCATTGCCTGAGGAGAAAGAAAAGCATTTGGTGAAGATGACTCAGTCACATAAACCAATACAGGCTGATGCTTTATTACATTTGTTTATCTAGTCTTAGCTCATATGCTACCTACTCCAAAGAGTCTGTTCCCATATGCCCAGTTTTCCTCTGGTGACCTGTTTAAGGATTTTTGTTTCCTTTATAATAATTTTACAAGTTCAACTCATGGTAATCCCATGTATGTCAGAGTAGAATTGTGCTCCATAGGGTTGTCAAGGGATGATTTTTCAGTAGATTACCGGGCCTTTTTTCTGAAGGGCCTCTGGATGAACTCAGCTGAGCACATTAACCATTTGCACTACCCAGGGCCTTACTAATATTAACATAGCTAACAACCAAGCATTTATCATATACAGTAAAAAAAAAACTGCTGTCAAGTCAACTCTGACTCATAGTGACCCTATTAGAACTGCCTCATAGGGTTTCCAAGGCTGTCATCTTTACAGAAGCAGATTGCCATATTTTTCTCTTGTGGAGCAGCTGGTGAGCTCTAATCACCAACTTTCCAGTTAGTAGCCCAGCAGCCAAGCACTTAACCACTGCACCACCAGGGCTCCTTATCAAATGCACAAGAGGCTATAACAGATTCACTTCATGTATTATCTAATCCTCAGAATAATTCTATGAACTTCAACTTCATGTATTATTATTCTCTATATTTCACAGATAAGCACTGTTTCAGTCCAGGTAAGGAAATGCCTAATGAGACTTAACCAACAGCTGGTGGAGTCAGAACTTGACTCCAGGTCTATTTTATTCCAAAGCCCATGCTTTTCATCACAAGCCATTCTGCCTGATTGCCCTGTACCCTGTACTATACAGGTCTTATCTCCCACAGTAATGAGCAGGGGACTGTTTTTCCTCCAAGTCACTCCCACCAGGCACCTGTGGCACGTGGTTGGTGCTCAGTAATGAATGAATAAACCCAAACAACAAAGAATTTTCTTTGGAACATAAGTGGCAACTCTTTTCCAGGTATGTGTTCAGTGCACTACACCAAGTCTCGAGCCCCTTCACAGACTAGGGAGGGTTGAGGAGGCAGCAGTGTTTACCAACTCTACTTCACAGAGAACAGCAGAGACACCCCAAGGTTAGTTCAAAGCCAGGTGAATTGACTTTGTTTAGTTCTGTGTCAATTCCAACAAAGGGGTGACATAGTGGGTGTCCAGAGTGAATGCTAGAGCCCACAGGCCCCCACAGTGCACTACACATACAGCTTCTGGCACAAAAAAGACTTTCAATAAGTAATGCCAGGCACGACGTCCAGACTCATCACATACATAGGTGTCCAGACACACAAAAATCATACACAACATTGTCAAATATAAACCTGACACGACACCATAATGGCCCTGCGGGCACACACCAACACACACAACTAGGCCTACGACGTGCAGCACGGACACTCGAACACAGATCAGGCATGTGGTTAGAGACTGGCCACATGTAAAGGGGTGCAGACACATGACATGGGCAAAACCTGGCCATATGGACACAGGCAACGACCTACACTCGGGACGTCAGGGCAAACACAAGGACACACGCTTCCGGAAGACACAGAGCCAAACCCACAAACCCGGCCGGCCCCTCAAAGTCTGGCCCTGAGCCCACTCGGCGCTCACTGTGGGTTACGGTCACGTTGAGCCCTGTCGCCGCCATTTCCTCGCTCTGATCCACTTCCTCGCTCTGATCCACTTCCTCGCTCCGGGTCATCTCCTCGCTCCGAGTCATCTCCTCGTTCCGGACCATCTCCTCGTTCCGGGCCATCTCCTCGTTCCGGGCCATCTCCTCGTTCCGAGCCATCTCCTCACTCCGGGCCATCTCCTCACTCCGAGCCATCTCCTCACTCCGGGCCATCTCCTCACTCCGGGCCGTGCGGGGTTGTACTTTCTTCTTCTTCACCCGCGGCCAGCGAGCGCCGGCAGCGGGGCCCCTGGTGGATCGGTCATGTCCGCTGGTTTTGCTCCGGACGGACGGACGCTGAGACCGAGGCGGCTTCCGGTCGGCCGGGGCTTCAGCCTGGCGAGGCTCCCGACCTGACCGAAGGGCGCGCCTCCGGGGACCCGGCCGCTCCCCGTGGCCTCGCGTTCTCCGCGGCCCGCCGCCCTCCGCCAGGCCCGCGTTTGTCGACCGCCCAGCGGCGAGAGCTGAGCGCTAACCCTAGCGATCCTGCCCAACCGCCTCCCGGTCCCGACTCTGCCAACTGACCACGCCCCTCGGGGGCTGGCCCCACTCCTGCCCCGCCCTCCACTGACACCGCCTCCAGGTCCCACCCACTCAAACCGAAGCTCCGCCCCATCCACCGCCAGAGGCCCCGCCCTCCGCTGACTCTCCCTCAGTCTCCTCCCGCTCTCCTTCCTCCCGAAGGCCGAACTAAAACCCGGAAAAAAGGATCGGGAAACTACGGTGGGCATAATGCGCTTGCTCATGAGAGGCCGGAAGTCAAGGCGGCAGAAGTGACTCTATTTCCGTTTCTGGTTTTGCTCCAGTGTTTGGGTTTCTGTGCGGCCGCCCAAGATGAACCGATTCTTCGGAAAAGCAAAACCCAAGGCTCCGCCACCCAGCCTGACTGACTGCATTGGCACGGTGGGCACTCGACCACGCGTAACTCGGCTCTGGGCTTCTGACACCCCGATCCCCTCACCCCTGGCTCTGGGCTCCTTGCTGCTTCTCACCTCCATTCCCGGCCCCGGGCCCATTACACCTTGTTCCCCTCCACCCCAGCTTTGGTCTTTCACCCGTTACCCTGCTCATTCCTAACGCTGCAAACCAGGGGCCCCTTATCCATCACTACTTCGCCCTACTGGCATCCAACCCGTTCTGTTGCAAACCGCCAAGTCCACTTAATCACGGCTTGGTCTCATACCATCCATCCCTGGGTCCTTCTCCCCTCAAACAGCCCGATCTCTTATCTCTTACACTCACCCACCTCGAGACTTTCACCTTGATATTCTACGTCCACATTACCTGGACCTCATTAACAAAAATCGGAACCCTACCCCCGTCACATTAAACCACCCACTCCCTATTTAGGAAATGACATTAAATCTACAACCCTAACAGTGGTCCACTGGGTGCTGACCTATTTCATACCCCATGTGGTTGAGCCCCTAGCATGACTACTCTCTCCCATTCCAGGGAAATCTCAACTCAGCCTAGTGATTCTCAAACCATTTTTCTGCCCCAACACACCCTAGAATATAAGTATCTGGGAGTGGGGTGTAATTGTAAAAGCCCTGTGTGTTTCTGGTTAGGAATCGCCCCTCACTTTGGGAATCACTGTTTTCCATTCTTTACCATATACTTCTGTCCTTTTTTCTTCCATATTCTTTCCTCTTTTCTTTGCCCTTTCCCATGTAAGTGTATTGCAGTAACCACCACTGCCTTTAATTTTTATTTTGCCCTCAAGGTGGATAGCAGGGCAGAATCCATTGACAAAAAGATTTCTCGACTGGATGCTGAGCTAGTGAAGTATAAGGATCAGATCAAGAAAATGAGAGAGGGTCCTGCAAAGGTAAGGCAAGTGGCAGCTGTTTCAAAAGGTGCTGCGACAGGCTAACATGAAATAGGGCCTGATGGTAGGGGCTGATAAGAGATACAGAAGAGATGCCCACAGACTGACATAAGGGGTATATCTTTAAGGAGCCAAATATGGGAGAGAGGCTGGAGTTTGACTTGGTGGAGGAGAAGATTATGCTCAAATGTCCAGAAGCATGTACATGGAAAAGAAGATCTGGTGGTGCAGTGGTTAAAACATGCAGCTGCTAACCAAAAGATTGGTGGTTTAAACCCACCAGCCACTCTGGGAGAAAGAGGAGGCAGTCGGTTTCCATAAAGATTTACAGCTTTGGAAACCCTATGGGCACTTCTGCTCTGTCCTGTAGAGTCGCTATGAGTTAGAATCAACTTGATGGCAGTGGGTTTGGTTTTATTAGTTTTTAATTTACTGGGTCATGCTCAGAGCAGTAAGTTGTCAGGCTGGTCAGATGAGATAAGTACAATAGATTGGTTAAGGAGGTGCTGTGGCATGCTGGGAAAAAGGACTGAACTAGGCATCTTGAGACCTGTGATCTAGTACTAGCACCATTACTGTCTATAAGCTGTGACCTTGATAAAACCACCTACTACTATTTTCCTCTTCTGTTAGGTTAGGAACATAAAGTACTATATTTAAATGCATGGACTGTGGATCAAGAACTACCTAGTTTTTTTTCCAGCTCCATAAACTTCTTAACCATGCAACCTGGAGCAAATTATTTAACCTCACTGAGCCTGAGTATCCAGTCTGGAAAATGGGGCTAATATTTACTTCATAGGGTGAGGATTAAACAAGGTAACTCATGTGACCTGCATAGCACATAATAAATATTATATATTATTATTATCTGAAAGTAATGCCTGCTTTTCCTTTCTGTTTGGAGGACATGAGTAAAATGATATATGGTACAGTTGAGAAAGAGGAGTGAAAAGAGATTTTTTCCAGCCATCTTAGTTGGGTGACATGAATTGAAGGGTGACTAGAGACAGGAAAGCCCATCTAGACATACAGTGAAAGCCCAAACCATGGTGATAGTCTTGAGAATGAGGTGAAAGGATCAGTTTGAAAGTAATTCTGAAAATCATTAATGGGATGGCTGTGCATGGGAAACAACAGAGAGCAGAAACGAATGCTGATGTAAAGACTGTCAGCTTGGAGATGTGAGAGATTGGTGGGGTCATTGTTAGTAATTTCCAAAATGAGTCTAAGTTGAAAACTGCATGTCCAAGTGGGGAATCTATCTCCCTAAGGCAACTGGATAGACACAATGGGCACAGTTAGGGTGGGGGTAGAGAAGACGTTCATTGGGAAAAGGAAAAGTAGTTCAGTGCACTGAGATGTAGGATGCAAAGACAGAGATGAGCTAAAGCATATGTATGCTTGGGAGGGTAGACCAGAACCTTGGAGCCACTATGTCTACTGTCTTGAGGAAGAGAATTGGTAGGTATGTAAATTTGAGGATGTGGGAGATTTATTTTATCATATGTATATTTTCTACCTCTTTAAATTAAAATCTATTTTTCCTCCTAGAATATGGTCAAGCAGAAAGCCTTGCGGGTTTTAAAGCAAAAGCGGATGTAAGTTACCAGCATAATCTCCTTCCCTTTAGCAGGTTTAATCAAAAAGAAAATGGTCTATTTCTTCAGGTTTTCATACTATATTATAAACATTCTTGATTTAATTACAGATACTCCTTTACATATGACTGTTGGCTGTTTTTTTGTTTTTCGTTTTCCCTTGCATGTTCAGCAACATCTGTTGCAACACCATCCAAGAGAACGTTTGCTGTGTTGGAGCTACTCTGTACCTGTGCTGTCCAATACGGTAGTTAATAGCCACATGTGGCTGTTTAGCACTTGAAATGTGCCTAGAGTGACTAAAGAAGTGAATTTTTAAATTCAGTTAATTTAAGTAGCCATATGTGACTATAGCTATCTTATTGGATGGCTCAGACCAGTAGGGTTTGGTTCTCCCATTAGTTAGAGTGTGCTTTCTTTGTTTTTTGTTTGTTTTTAAAGTTAAGAATCCTGAATATTTGATCCCATCTACCAGAATAGCTATAAAGATCCTTAATTTGTTTTAGGTGACTATGTCTTGGTGTTTGAACCAAATAGTATCTTTGGTGTTTAACCCTGTGGGCTGACCAGCTGAGATCCTCTGCAGGGTTGTAGAGGTCAAGTGTCATCAGCTAATAAGAAGCAGAAAGATTGCTTACTAGGAAAACAGTTTAGCTATATGTATTGAGAGCTTTAAAAATAGTCTTACCCTACATGATGTGAGGGAGCTCTGGTAGCATAGTGCCTAAGGCACTTGACTGCTAACCAGAAGGCTGGTGGTTCAAACCCACCAGCCACTCCTCGGAAGGAAGATGGGGCAATCTACTTCCGTAGTGACACTGCCTCGGAAACCCAAGGGGAGGGGTCGCTATGAGTCAGGTCCGACTAGATGGCACATAATAACAACAACAACATGATGTGAAGATTGTAACCAATGTCACTGAAAAATATGTGTAGAAATTGTTGAATGGGGACCTATTTTGCTGTGTACACTATTTTTGGTGTACACTTTCACCCAAAATACAAGGAAATATTTTTAAAAAATCGTCTTACCTTTTGTGCCAATAATTACTCTTCCAGGAATTTGTCGTAAGAAAAGTATCTAACATGGTGGCATTGAGGAAGAGGAAGACATAGAGAGGTACATGGGAGGTACAGGCAACAAAGATGAACCCTTTTGTATATACAATACTGCGTTGTCAGTTTACCATGGCAAACATGGGTATATAGGTGGACAGATGGGTGGACAGGCTGAACTATTAGGTATGTCTGTAAAGTGGGGAGTGTACCCAAGACCATGTATAGGGTTGGCAGACAATGGTCCTATAAGTGTATCTGTGTGATCTGAATTCCCAGGTGTATGGTAGAGCTGACAAAGGACAAGGTTGTAGGCACTTGTTGGTCACAGCCAGCTACCCAGAGGGACCGAGTAGTTGAACCTGTGGGCTCGGGACCATAGTCACAGGGGACATCAAGCTCAATTGGCATAACATACTATACAAAACATTGTTCCACCTCCCAGTTTGGCGAGTAGCGACTGGGATCTTAAAAGCTTGCGAGCAGCCATCTAGATGCAACGATGGGTCTCTCCTCATCCAGAGCACAGAAGAATGAAGAAAATGAAAGATTCATGGAAAGAATTAGTCCTGCGATCTGTAGCCTACATGACTATGAGACCAGAAGAACTAGATGGTGCCTGGCTACCACTGTCAACCACTCGGAGGGGGATCTATGGAGGAGATCCTGGATAGAGAGGGAGAACAATATGGAACAAAACTCAAAATCATTTGGAGAAAAAAAAAAAAAAAGGTGGGGACCAGGTTTGCTGGTCCGATAGAGCCTGGTGGAACCACTGAGACTATGGCCCCTAGTTGCCCTTCAGGTCTGGAATTGAACCCACACGTGTGGTTTCCAGCCAAACAAAAGACAGGCATATGAGTTGAAGATGTACCTGAGGTAGATACACTCCTTGGAGAGAACAATCATGGAAGAAAGAAGGGCTGTTTATGCACAGGGAGACAGCTCGGGGGGCAGGCGTACATGAAAGGATGGACACGGAAGAGGTAACTATTAGGAGGAAGTGGAAGGGGAGCTGTTGCATTGTGGTAAATAGTAGTCAGTGTCATGAGACTGTATGTGAACTGCTGAAAAGAATAACAACAAAAAAAAGTAAACATTATAAAGTTGTATTTATAGCAAGACTGTTGCAATATAGAAAAAAGCAAATGCTGTGAATGTTAAGTGGAAAATAGTGTCATAATTAAAATAGACACAAAGGAAAAAGACTGGGAGAAAAACACATAAAGTGTGTTAGAGTAATTATTTCAATTTTTTTCCTTTTTTTCTCTTAAAGAAAATTCTTATTTAGTGTTAGAGATACTTTCTTCCTGAGTCATACTTACATTCCCAATTGATTACCAAAAGGTATGAGCAGCAGCGGGACAACCTTGCCCAACAGTCATTTAACATGGAGCAAGCCAATTACACCATCCAGTCACTGAAGGACACCAAGACCACGGTACTCGAAAGCACCTTTTCCCATAAATTTTTTTTTTTTTTTTTTTTTTTTTTTAATTCTTGTGCTCTCTTTTCTCTTGGTGTTTAGAAGACTGTTTACGTAACATGGCTTTTAAAGACATTGTATTTTCATTTATTTTATTTTTTTCAGGTTGATGCTATGAAACTGGGAGTAAAAGAAATGAAGAAAGCATACAAGCAAGTGAAAATCGACCAGATTGAGGTGAGATATGTATTAGTTTCTGAACAAATCTAAATGAATGCATCTGTGATGAGAAGAACACTGTTAAGGACTGACTCTCCGGCCTGCCGTTTACTAGTAGAGTGACTTTAGGAAAGGCTGCCAAAGGTCTCAGTGTCCACACAGCAAGGATCATAGCACCATGTTCATTTATTGAGAGGATGGAATAAATGAGCTAATGTGACTAAGAGCACCAGGCCTAGCATGTAATAAAACCAAAAACCAAACCCACTGCCATCAAGTCAATTCTGACTCATAGTGACCCCCATTGGGTTTCCAAGGCTGTAAATCTTTATGGAAGTATATTGCCTAATCTTTATCTCGTGGAGCAGCTGGTGGATTTGAACCACTGACCTTCTGGTTAGCAGCCAAGTGTCTTATCCACTATACCACCAGAGCTCCTTAGCGCCTTAGCATTTATTAGATATACCAAACCAAAATCAAGTCGATTCTGACCCATAGCGATCCCCATTGGATTTCTGAGGTGGTAAATCTTTACAGAAGTAGATTGCCCAGTCTTGCTTCCACAGAGTGGCTAGTGCGTTTGAATGACCAACTTTCTGGTTAGCAGTCAGATGCCTTAGGCACTATGCTACCAGAGCTCCTTAATTAGGTATAAGTACCTAATAAATGCTGTTTATTTCCAACTCAGTGATTTTTAGTCTGTTTCCTTAATTGTAAAACAGTGACATCATTGCTTATCTCCCATGACTGTCATGAATTGTTAAATGAGGATATAGACATGAAGTGTTTAATATAATTTTTGGCATAGAATTGGTTATTTTTAATAATAATGTCATTAGGTCTATAATATTATCATTTCCTTTTGGGACTGGATTTTGGTTGGGGAGGTGAACCCTGAGAGCTTGGCTGCTCTGAACTCCGGTGAACACCAGATAACAGTGATAGCAGAGGGAGGGAGTGGTGCCTGGCTAGTGGGAAAAGGCTGCCTTTCTGTAAATAAGATAGTGCTTTTTACCTCTACCCTCCAGACTAGAATGACTCTTTCCATGAGGACAGGGAGTCAGTGTTGTTCATTGTTGTATCCCCAGTGCCCAGAACTGGCTCTGAAAATATTTATTGGTTGCTATTAGAGAAGATCATTAGTACCACTCGATTCGAGCAGTGTTTCTTGGGTGAGCACTACCTCTGGACGGGGCATTCTTCTGCCCCTGCAGAGGTATCTCTGGCAATGCTGGTCTTCAGTAGGAGAAAGGATATTTGCCATTTCACCCTAACTTCTTCTGAGTACCCCTCCTTCAGCTGCCCTTGGTCATTTTCCGAATCTTCCACCAGTCTCTGCTTTCATGAAGTGAAGTTTAGTGATATTTTCCAGGAAATTTACTGAGAATATCTGTGTATACTTATCTTATTTGTACAATACCTTTTGGTAATAAAATATAATGAAATAGAATTTTATTTTCTGCTTAGAGTTCTGTATGTTAGACATAACTCTTTGTTAGGCAATTAGACATGTTTAATTAAACAGAATAGAAACTTTGGTCTTACTGTCTTTTTTCTTTCTCTCCATCTTTCACCTGTGGTTGTCTGTCTGTCTCCTTGTCTAATTATCCTTTTCTGTCCCCCAATAGTTTGCCAGCATGACAGGTGGAGAGCCCCTTTCTAACTCTCTTGGTGTGTATGTGTGGCTGTCTTGTGTTTCATCTTTTGGTTGGGCTATATGTTTTGAATTTCATTTTTTAAATTTATTTTCCTAAAATACTTTACTTGTAACCATTTTCATTGTTTTATAGCTCTCATTTTTTATTTTGCTTTTGTGTGTCTTTGCTTTTTATTCTATTTTACTTTTCAGTTTCCGCACATCAGTGTTGTTTTTAGTTTAATCCTTGTATCTGTTTTTGTTGCGTCTGTTTGTTTTTCCAGTATTGAACCAACTAGCTCTGTATGTATGATTTTTTTTCTGTCTATCTTAACATCTGTTGCTGGGAATCCTATTTATGGATGATTTTGGGAGATCTGTCTTGATATGTAATAATACAGTATAAGCTTGAGTTGATTAACTTATTCTATGCAGTTTCCACTCTCTTTTAATTATTATTTCAGCCAGTGAGTCTCTGGCTAGCAGAATGTCGTGTGCAGACGTCATAGTAGATTGGCACTTGGAAATACAGAAAAGGAAAGATTTTTATAAAAAATGTTTTCCTTATCTTACTTTTTACCTATTTCCTTTTAATATTAAAAAACAAACCTACTCTGATTTGGGGGCCAGGAACAAGCTTTCAACTGTTTTATGTTCTAGAAATTCCAAAGGAGAAAGGTGCTGATTTGGATCTTGTGCGTTATCATGCTAGCCTGTCTTCCTCTGTGTAGGATTTCAGTAGACAAAGAGCACATTCTTAGCACAACAGAAGTAGTAATCAAAAAACCAAACCAAACTCAATGGCCATTGAGTCATTTCCAACTCACAGCGACCCTTCTTTGGGTTTCCAAAGCAGTATCACTAAGAAGTAGATTGCCCAGTCTTCCTTCCGAGGAGTAGCTGGTAGGTTTGAACTACCAGCCTTCTGGTTAGCAGTCAAATGCCTTAGGCACTATGCCACCAGAGCTCCTTGAAGTAGTAATAGTAGCTAATATATATAGTATTAAGTGTTTAGTATTTTATGTCTGTTTATATTACCATAAATCGTTACAATAACTTTATAAAGTATAGCTATTGATGATCCTGGGTATGTGCCAGGCATTTTATATATCTTTTTAAAAATTGCTTATTACTAAGATTCTGGGGTGGAGGGGAGAACCAGTAATCAGAGGTAAATGGTAAGAAATCAGTGAAAACCCTGCTATATATATTTCTATAGGATCTACAAGACCAGCTAGAGGATATGATGGAAGATGCAAATGAAATCCAAGAAGCATTGAGTCGAAGTTATGGCACCCCAGAATTAGATGAAGATGACCTAGAAGCAGGTAAGTTATAGGAAAAGCAATATATACGTAGCTTTAGAATCTGAAAATTGTAACTGCCTAGACCCTTTTCCCAAATGCTAGTGGAAATTCCTATCATTGTTTCCTGAGTTCACTTTTGGTACAGTCTTTAGGCAGAGATACTGTGAGGCAGCCACATCAGGTGTACATTCTCTACCAGCAACTCTGCGGTGGACAGACTCTGAAGGAAGATCTAAGGAAAGGCCTCTAGTACTTTGTGTCCACTGTGCCCTCAACACTGCCTTTCCCTGCTGTTTCCTTTTGATTTTGTTTTCTCTGTTTTCCTACCTGGAGTCCATTCCCTCAAAATACAAGCAGATCAAGAAACAATAGTTGGCAGATACTTGGTGTACATCGGCTATATGCCAGGCACTGTGCTAGGTGTTGGAAATTCCACATTGAAGAAAACAAACATGATCCCTGCATTCATTAAGCTTTTCCTCTAGCAGGGGTGAGAAATACAGACTGCTTGTTTCAAGTAGTTAATTACAAGAATAAAAAGATTAGGAAGTACCGTGTGAAGTACCATGGAACCACAAGATGGGAGTCTTACCTAGTTGGAAGTAAGGGTAGGGCATGGGATATTTTCTTGATGAAGAAATTTAGCCTGAGGTCTGAAGAATGAATAGGTGTTAGGATGAAAAATGGAGGGTGTAGTAGTTAAGGTTGTGTATCAACTTGGCTGGGTCAAGTTGAGTGGCTGGGCAGCTGGTGGTAGTTATTCCCCATGATGAGACTGGCAATCACCTCCATGGTGGGATCTACCACAAGCAGCTGAGTAGCTGCTTTAGGGATGTGGTCTGCTTCCTTTTTATAAGAAGCAGCTTTGGGAATGGCCTCTAGCTGATGGCATGCTTGAACCCTGCCATGTAGCCATGTCGTTGTTCAGCAGCCCACTGTGCTCTGCTGATCTTGGGACTTTCAATGGATTTGAATTAATGGCCTGCCGTGTGCTTTAGTAACATGAGGACTGTGCCTTTTTACTTGTCAACCTTGGGTTTGTCAGCCTCAGCAGCCAGCAGCTGAGTGAAGAAAAGCCTTCCAGCTTCAGTGGGCCAGGAGCAGGAAGCAGAGCTGAAGCCCAAGGTTGAGAGGCTTTCACCCAGCCCCTAGAGCCTGGCAGCTTGAACTCAGACTTAAAGCCTCCAAATTGTAAGAAGAAATTCCTGTTTGTTAAAGCCATCCCACTGATGGTATATTCCTGTCAGAGCAGCACTAGGTAACCAGAACAGAAGGGTTAAGTGGCCTTAGGAACAGGAGTCTAGAATTTACTGCTATAGTCCCATGTAGGAGATGATGGTGGCCAAGACTAGAAGTGGGCAGATTCAAGAACTGTTTGGGAAGTTGACTACTAGATAAGACTTAATGATTGATTGGATGTGGAGGAAGAGGGGGAGGGGTCAGGATGCTATCAGTTTCTAACACTGGATTTCCTGTTGCATGATTCTGTCATGTTTCTTTTCTCCATGTTCTGTTTCTGCCTGGAATCTTTTTCTCCCCCCGCCCCCCACTGTTGCTTTCTTTCTTTTTTCATTTCCATTTTCAGTTTCCTCTGATGAATCCATCTGCTGTTGTCATTCCTTCTGGCCACTTACTACTCACTTAACCACACTTAGTTTTTGAGCCTGACTTCATGTAATGGTAATGGCCACTCAGTATACAACAGGCTCATGCCTTTTACTTCACTCTTTCAAGTTTATCAAGAAGAGAAAGCATTTCTTTTGTTTGTTAGCATCAGAATTTTTTAGTTTGAATTGGCCAGCTAATAACTCTGCCTGCTTCTCATGGAGACTGGGGCCCTTGTAAACCTGTGGGAATTGATTGGTTTGTTGTATTGTGAGCTTTGTTTTTTGCTTTTCATAGATTTCACCATATTCATTCCCTTGAAATATTCATATAATGCTCATCTTTTATTTTGAAAATAGAAATTAATCATTTATTTTTGTATTCAAATTTTTACTTACTACAACTAATATGTCTTTCTTACATTAGCTGCCAGTTTTCTTGCTTATCTTTGTTTTGAAATGTTGACTATTTCAACTTCAGAATTGGATGCACTGGGTGATGAGCTTCTGGCTGATGAAGACAGCTCATATTTGGATGAAGCAGCATCTGCACCTGCAATTCCTGAAGGTGTGCCCACTGACACAAAGAATAAGGTGAGAGCTTTTTCTGTATATATGTTTTTTGCAAAATGATAAAGATTTTATAGCTGACCACCAGTCTGGGAACCAAAAAGGTAGTCTTGAATTAGGACAAGGAAAGATAGTTTCAGTCATTTTTGGAACACTTTGAAAGTCCAGTTTTTCCTCTATTGGATTATGAATAGGTTGTATAGTGTCACTAAGGCCCAGAAATGTTTTCATATAGTGACAATTTGTATAAGATACAAAATCATCCTTGTGTGTTTGCACTGGGTACCATTTACATGTGTGTTTTTTTTGTTGTTTTATTTGTTTTTACCATTTCCTGGGAAAGCATCAGCAGCACATGCATGAGGCAAGTGGCACTGTAAAAGAAAGCTGCACTATACAGACACACGAAATTTTAGGGATTTTTAATAGTTGTGTCACGGAACAAAACGTGTATGAACTGCTGTATGGAAAATGAATTTGTTCTGTGAACTTTGACCCAAATCACAATAAAAATTTAAAAAAAGAAATACAAACTTAAGAACATATATACTTATAGATTGTATTATATCTTGTATGTGAAAGGGTTTTACAAACTTGAAGCCCTGTCCAGATCTACATTGTTGCCATTACTATAGAGCATTTCACTGCTGGTGAGAAGCGGGTCATTCTATCTTAGTTCCTGGTGTAATGTATTATTTTTTTTCTATTGCCACTGGAAGTTTATTGCCCTGGTACTTGCTTTAACTCCCAACATGCACGTTAAGGGTACACAGTGTAGTCCAAGGAATCCTTGAGTGGGAGCCAGTCGCACTGTACCTTTATTCACTGTGTGACTGTGAGAAAATTAGAAATTCATGTTTTATCTCTGAACCTTGTTAGTTTTATCTCTAAACCTCGTTAGTTTTTCCCACCTATAAAATGGGAGCAAAAGAAGTGAGCGATTTCTCAGGTCCCTTAATTTCTATTAATATGGGTCTTCCCCTACTACATCCTCCCTCTTCCCTTAAGCTTGGGATAGTCTTAACCTTTCTCTACTGTCCTCCCCCCCAACCTCTCTCCCCACTTTAAGGATCCAGGTGCCTGAGTTGCTTTCTTGTTAGCACACCTGAGCATTTTTATTTACACTCTCATGTCTACTTTTTCATATCCCTAGTAACAAGTCCCTGAAGCATCTTTGTTATTTCTACTTTAGAGGGTCACTAGATTCTTTTTTTTTTTTTTTTTTTTAATTTTTACTGTGATTTGGGTGAAAGTTCATAGAGCAAATTCATTTTCCATACAACAGTTCATACACATTTTGTTTCATGATATTGACTTCAATTCTCCACAGTGTAACAGCTCCCTTCCTATTTCCGTCTCGTAGTTACCTCTTCCCTGTGTCCTTCCCTCCCATGCACTCTTGGGGGTCACAAGATTCTTGAGTTAAATGTACTGTTGAGATGTGTTTTCTTAATTGATAGTACTATCACTGTCTGTGATTTTGTGGTGAAGGATGATATGGAAGTGAGTGCCTGCCCTTGGGCACTGCACCTTCATGGATTTGAAAGGCTACAAAAGGTTGTTAGTTTAGCGATCAGAATGAAAATGCAAATCTAGAGGCAAGGACTGATTCCTCAGCTTTTTCTCCTTGACCTTCCCAGGCTCCTTTTCCCCTTCCTAGGTTTACTGTTGTTTCTTTTCTCCCTCATCTACTTCACTCTTCCTTTACTCTACCAAGGCTCACCTTTTGATCCTTCCAGTCCTTTTCCTGGTTCATTACTTCCCCTTTTGCCTTTCATACAAAAGCTTTCTTCTTCTGAGTGGGATTTTGGTTTCTATTGATAAATACTTGGAAGTCAGCATTTACTACTAAATGTAATCACTTGAAAAATAGTGGTATTTAACATTGCTTCTCTTTCACAGGATGGGGTGTTGGTGGATGAATTTGGATTGCCACAGATCCCTGCTTCATAGACTTCCATCATTCAAATACATCGTGTAAAATAAACATTCATTCTGGGAACTGGGAAATAGCTTTCCAAATTTACCATAACAGATTAAGGTTTCTTTCCTTTCTTTGAAGGAAAGTTCATTACATTGCTCTTTTTTTTTTTTTCCTTCCGTTAAGAGACTCATTGCTGGGGAGTTGCTTTCTTTGTATTAAACTTTGATTCCTTTTCTTTTGACTAACTTTAAAAAAAAAAAAAAAATCAGTGGCTATGTAAGGCTTGTTTTCATTCATTAATAATTTGAAATAAAATGAAGGTAATGGGGAATCTAAATTTTATGAAAATGTAACCCCACAACCTCAAAATGACCTGATATATTGATAAGACAAGATTGGGACTGTTCATATTATGGTTCAAAACCATTTTGTAATGTAGCATTGTAGGTTGGCTAAAATGTTGGCCGTTTTTGATGGGTTTTGTTGAGTCTTGTGAGCAAGTCATTACTGTGTCTGGTGTTGGAATGGAATTCTCACTACTGTTTCATGAGTGGATATTTTGATTCTATGGTTCCTTCAGTATTACACCCTGACTTGTAATCAATAATGAATATTTCTTGATATTTAATGTATAGGACATTTATTTATACTTAATAAATATTTTTCAAAAGGTTGTAATTTTAATAGTATCACTTCAGCTTAAAAATGCCATTAAAAAACAAAAAAACCTGCCATCAAGTTGATTCCGACTTATAGTGATCCCCAAGGGTTTCCAAGGCTATAAATCTTTACAGAAGTAGATTGCCTCATCTTCCTCCTGTGGAGCAGCTGGTGGGTTTGAACCATTAACCTTCTGGTTAGCAGCCAGATACCTTACCCACTCTACCACCAGAGCTGCTAAAAACTCTATTACATAAACCAAATTTAGCTAGTGGCATTGTGGTATAACGGAAGGAGTACAGAACAGTCCAGGTCTACTCACTGCCACAGCAGGCTTTTGCAGTGTGTGCTGCTTCTCCAGTACCTGGCTGCTATAGCACATGTTATTTTGTTAGTGCCCAGCTTTTGTAGTTTATTGGCAGCCAGCAGCCAGAGGCTTCCCCTGGCATCCCCCCAGGTAGTTTTGTAGCAGAGGGCTGGTGAATGAATGACCTTTCCCAGCACCCTAGAGGGAAGATCTTTGGTAAGTTCCACCATGACACCATACTTCTCTGCCATCCAGTAAGCCATGGCCAAGCCTTTTCCAACAAGGTCCGTATCTAAGCTCTTGCTTGGACACTTAGTCCTAGGGGTACTGGCTGCTCCTGAAATTTGCTAATTCAGTATTCTTTATAGTTCTATTTATGTCTAACAAGCCAACCCCATGTTACAGTCATTTAAGTAAGACTTTTCCTGTTCAAAACACTGTATGGCATTTTTCTCTCAGTTGGACCCAGACCCATACACCTGGTCATTTCTAAAAGTGACAATAAGGTTTGTTTGATGAAATACTCAGCCAAGGACAGTTAATAGACTTAATGGAATGGAAGAAAGCAACTCACATGTCTAAACTGACAAGGAATTGCTATCTAGAATACAAAATTCTTACATATCAAGAAAAATACAGCAACCCCAATAGAAAAATGGGCAGTGGACGTGAATAAGGAATTTAAAAAGAGGAAACCCAAAAAGCTATTAAGAATGTGAATAAGGAGGCATGATCTGTGGGTCCCTGAGGTGTAATGGTGGGGTTATGGACGCAGGCCGAGCAGCCCAGGTCACCACTGGCTGTGTCACCAGAGCTACCATCTTGCCTTCATCCAAGCTCTGTTGGCAGACACTTGTGCAACCTCAGCCCTGCTGCCACCTCAGTTCTGTAACAGATGTTCTGCTGGTGAACATAGAATCAACATGGTTTTTCTTTGCTCAGAAACCACTGATGGGGGAGTACTTGTTAATTAAACTAAGATTTTCAGTGAATGAACCTTACTAGACTCTGAGCTCATCGATAAACATGAGTGGTACCAAACCTGATGTTTTGTGGGTATACCAGGTGATAGGTTCATTGCATGTGAATCAGAACTAAGGCTTTACCACATGTAATCTACTGTGAATTCAGAACTCAAAGCTGGATTTTTATGTTTATCTATAAAGACCACAGCTACATTAACCAGATGCAGTCGAGTAGATTCCAACTTACGGTGTGATGTAGTGAATTATGATATATGACTCTTCTAGCCATGGTCTTTGTAACAACTACCAGATGACTGGGTGGAATAATGTAAATGTGAAGTGCTTGTGGCCCTCCAAGGGAATTGAATAGCTTGATAATAATGTAAATTAGCACATGGCACCCTTGTGGGGATGGTACTATGGAAATAAGGTATATGGAACCCTAACGTCAGGATTGGTCAGTTTTGCCATCCGTTAGGCTTAAAATAAGCCATCTCGGAAGTGGAGAGGGAGGGACCTCACTACCATCAAGAAAGAAGAGCCAACAATGGAGCACATCTTTGGACCTGAGATCCTTGTGCTGAGATGGCAAGAAGCAGTGGCAGAGAAATGGCAGCAACAGAGGCAGCAGAACCAAGGGAGCAGCACATGACAGAGTGGTAGGCTTACCAGCCCAGGGAGTGAGAAAGCTGAGTGCCTTTGGGCAAGAGGCTTACTAGCAGAGTGGTATGCCTCTCTGGACACCTATCAGCAGGACTAAAAGAGTGTTATAACACTTGCCAGAGCAGAGCAGTGGCCAGACCGAGGGCCAGAGAGGCATGCCTTTGGGCACGGCTGAGGGGAGGCTGTCCTGATAGAACTGTATCCTGAGTGTTCCTGAACCTAAATTGTAACCTGCTACTTCCCCGTAATCGTGAGTATTGTATGTGAGTTCTGTGTGGCCATTGAAACAAATTACTGAACCCAGCAGAGAAGTAGAGAGTGACATGGGACAGTTGGTGTCAGAATTGGTAAAAAAAGAAAAAAGGTTAGAAGGTGGTGGCATATCTGACCCCTGCCTCATAGGAATTAGCCTTGGGCTGTTGATGTTGTTCTGGATCCTCCTTCCCCCTTGTGAAGTTAAAGGAGGTTGGACACTGCCTCTCCCACACCCTTTTTACACATGGTAACCCCATTGGTATCAGAGTAGAACTATGCTCTATAGGATTTTTAGTGACTCATTTTTCAGAAATAGATTACCAGGTGTTTCTTCTGAAACACATCTGGGTGGACTGTAACCTTCACCTTTTCAGTTAGCAGCTGAGTGTGTTAACTGTTTGCACAAACCAAGGACTCAATAAATACAAATATACCCTATTAAAAAATATGAATATATGACCCAGCAATTCCACTCAGATATGTTACACAAAAGATTTGAAAGCAGAAACTCAAATAGAGACAGATACCAATGTTCATTGTAGCACTATTCACGACAGCCAAACGGTGGAAACCACATAAATGCCTATCAACAGATGAATGGATAAACAAAATGTGTTACATAAATATATACAATCAAACACTACTGAGCCAGTAGGAGAAATGAGGTCTTGATACAGGCTACAATATGGATGGAATCTGAAAACATGCTGAGTTAAATAAGCCAATCATAAAAGGATGTATATTGTACCTCGCCTATATAGAAAGACAAGAAAAGGCAAATATATTGAAAAGTTTACTAATGATTACCAAGGGCTGGAGGGAGGAGGAAAGGGGTGGTTATTGCTTATGGAGTACTGAGTTTTAGTTTATAGTGTGGAAAAATCACATTGATTATGGGTAGGATTGCACAGTTGATTACTGTAAGTGTTGTCAATAAGTTGTACACTTGTAAAAAGTTGAATTGGCAAAAGTGTGATAGACATATTTACCAAAAAAGTAGCTGTTGAGGCTGTTTATGTACTACCCAGCACCTCATGGGATTTGATTCCTTGGTTTGGAGATTTGGCATTAGAGTTTCATCCCAGTTAACTGGCCTAGTAATGGGTTTATTTCTCTTTTACCTCCTAGTTCACTGCATAGTTCCTGAGGTATTAAGGGCTTGCAAGCAGCCATCCAATGCACAATAAGTAGTCTGTATTTGCCTGGAGCAACAAGGGAAAGAGAGTTAGGAATAGGAGGAAATGGAATGTGTGGCTAATTGCCTACAGGAACAACAGCTTCCTTTGCCACTAGACCAGAATAAGTGGATGGTGCCCGGCTACCATGACTGAGCATTTTGATAAAGGAATCTACAGAAGAATCTTTATTAAAAGGGGGAAAAATGTAGAACAGAATATAAATTCTCAGGGACACCAAACTTTCTGGAGTCATGAAGGCTGGATGATGAACTGAAACTATTGCCCTGAGATAATCTTTAAATCTTAAACCAAAAATATACCTTGAAGTCTTCTTTAAATGAAACAATAGTTCGCTTAACTTGTAAACAATGTCTGCTTTGAGTATTACACTCATTTAAGAACTGTCTCTATGGAATCGAATTGACAACAGCTACTTGATAGATTAGATGGGAACCTTAGCGGGCACCGAATTTATGTTAATGAGAGAGACTCAGAAAAAGAGGGTGAAAATGGTTGTACAACTCAAAGAATGTAATAAATGCCAGTGAATTGTACATGTAGAAACTATTGGATTGGTATGTTTATTGCATATATTCTTAGCAACAGCAAAATAAAAATTTTAAAGTACAAATAAATGTTCAACAGAAATGCAAATTAAAACAATAATGATATTTCACATCACATATGTTGGTTTGACGAAAGTTTGAAAGCTGGTATTCTGGTTACCTAGTACCACTCTAGGAGCTCTGGTAGCTTAGTGCCTAAGGCACTTGACCGCTAACCAGAAGGCTGGTGGTTCAAACGCACCAGCCACTCCTCGGAAGGAAGATGGGGCAATCTACTTCCGTAGTGATACTGCTTCGGAAACCCAAGGAGGGGTCGCTATGAGTCGGGTCCGACTCGACGGCACATAACAACAACAGTACCACTCTAACAGGAATACCACAAATAAATAGGATCGCCTTAATGAACAGGAGTTTATTCTCTCACAGTTTGGAGGCTTTAAGTCCAAGTGCAAAGTGCCAGACTCTAGGGGCTGTGTGAAAGCCCCTCGACCTTGGACTTCAGCTCTGCCTCTTGCTCCCAGCCCACTGAAGCTAGAGACATCTCTTCACTCAGGCAGCTACTGGTTGCTAAGGCTAACAAGCCCAAGGTCGACAAATAAAATGGCACAGTCCCGATATTACCAAACCACATGGCAGGCCATTAATTCAAGTCCACTGTAAATCCCAAGGTCAGCAGAGCATGGCAGGCTGCTGAACAATGATCTGGCTATATGCAGGGTCCAAGTATGCCATAAGCTAGAGATCATCCTCCAAGGCTTCTCCTTATATACAAGAAGTAGACCACATCCCTAGGGCAGTACTCAGCTGCTCACAGTAGACTCCACCATGGAGTTGATTGCCTGTCTCCTCATGCTGCCCATCATGAGCACTACATCCAGCTGCCCAGCCACTCAACCAGGCCCAGCCAAGTTGACACACAAACTTAACTACCACAGCTGGATAATGGTTATATCTCAAATATACTACTGTCTTAGTGGAAAACACTAGACTGACTGCTAGCAATGAGAAGAAAAGCTTTACTGAAAGAATAAAATCATTAAGAAATGGGAAGATATTTACAAACATCCATACAAGATGTTGCAATGCTGG